TAAATAAAAGAACAGATGGAATAAATAAAATCCTCCAAACCATTATGTAATGAAATGTACACATCTCACTACATTTTAAGGTACACAATAAATGAGTGCTAGGAGGTGTCTGATTACCAAGTAATCACCGTCATGGTCCTGTTGTTCATCAATTTGCTCGAGCAGGTCCAGTAACGTCTCCATCATGAGACTTGTTGTTGCTGTGTTTGGCATATTGAATACGTCACGGGTAGCTTGCCAGGCTTTGCCGTGCAGGCGAGATACTCTCAGTAGCTTGCCAGGCTCTCCGAGAAGGGCGGAGGAATCGAACCAGGCTCAGCCGGGCAGGCTGCACGCAGGGCAAATGCCCTACCGCTGTGCTATCGCTCCAGCCCTACCAAGTAATACTTCTGAAATTTGAAAGTAAATAAAACAATTAATTTTTTGTCTTTGAATATATTTCTAGTGGAATCTGACTTGTTTGAACAATTTTTTGGCAACATTAAGTACAAGTTTCACAAACTTAAACTCAATGAGATAGATTATCTCCTAGACAATAACGTTTGTTTTTACATCAAGCTCATCTATAAGCCAGGATGTATCAAAACTCAAAGTTGTCATTTAAAATCTCATTTAATTATACCAGAGTTCTTTCATTCTTTAAGTAGCACCTCAATACATTTTTGTGAATATGCCAATAAAGAATATCTTCAAATTAAGTCAAAAGCAAAAATGCCCTATAGATAAAAAGATTCAAAGGAACACAATTTTAAAATAATGATAAACATCCATTGCTAATACTCATGTTTACTTTGTATTGCTTGCCTCTGTCTTCTCTAATGCTTTATAAAAGCACTTACAACTTACCCCTAACAATGTCCTCTGTGAATGAGGGCAGGGTAACCGCCTTCCCTTTTCCTACTGAAAGAAGAGCACGGAGTCAGGGAGGTGAAGTGTAATGCTCAAGGTCACACGTCAATCAGTAGCATCTCTCATTCTGTAACTCCCAAGACCTTAATTCTAAGCTGATGCCAACAGATAATGTGTATATTATTTTCTCTCCCTTTGATCACAAACAACTATAGTTACCCAGCGTCCTAGTGTCAGAAGACAAACCAAAAGCCCCACAGATAATTCTCTCCCTCTTTCCACTTCTTTCCATGTGAGTCACCAGATACACCTCTTTTTAAAAAGTTGTCAATACCAAATACATCCATAAAATATTATTAAACCCCTGAATATCTTCACACACAGAAGTTAAATCAAAGATATAGGAGCTATAGTAACAATGTCATGCTAATATATGCCAAGAGAAAAAGAAAAGATCTTCTGTCTTGTCTTGCAGACCAGATACTTGTGAGTAGTTTCTAAGTGCCTGTTACTTTTTTTTAAAAAATTTCATATTAGACTGCTTTAAAAGCATATGACCAAAAAGTTATGATTTCTAAGCTAATTTGCTTGAGCCAATCAAACTATATTCAACTAAATTGGGTAGCTGATGATTTAATTCTGAAAAGAATTAAGTCAATAAAATTGTCCATATTGTAACAGATATCTTACATTTTGACAAGTTCTAATAGTGTTATGTAACACTTCCAAATTTCTGAGTATTTCAGTATTCAGATTTTCTTACTGATTTTATAATTTCAGAGGACACAGTAACTAAAATGCATTTCAGTAACAGGGGAAAAAATGGTTGTTTTTTTATATATTTTTTTGTGCTTTTTCTTTTTTGGGGGGGTTCACACCCGGCAATGCACAGGAGTTACTCCTGGCTCATGCACTCAGAAATTACTCCTGGTAGTGCTTGGGGGACCATATGGGATGCTGGGAATAGAACCTGGGTCGGCCGCGTGCAAGGCAAATGCCCTGCCCACTGTGCTATTGCTCCAGCCAGAAAAACTTGTTTTAGAAATGAAGCAGGTAGTGGGCCCCACCAATTTTGCTATTAAATATATATATATATATTCCCCAATTTCTAATACATATTAAATGTGTCACAAAATTTAAATTTTAAGGGTTTCATTTACTTATTATATATAACTATTTTGTGATTCTTCTTTTTTGTTTTTTGTTTGTTTGTGGACGATCCCCAGAAGTACTCTGGAAACACTCTTAGCAATACTCTGGGAACCTTAGGTAATACCAGGGATTGAACCATACCTTCTGTGCTATCTCTCTGGCCCCTATGACTCTTATAATAATATTTAACATTGCTATTTCAAAGTCTGTTTATTAAGACTCTTCAGAAGAAGCAGCTTTAGTCTTGAATGGAAGGAGAAATAAAACGTTGATCCTTAGTAAAATGATGCATTTTATTTTAATAATGTCTACCTAGTGACAGGAATTTAGAAGTCAGAATGTCAAAATAAAAAGATAAACATAACAAGTAAAAACATAAGAAAAAACATAAACATAATAGGTATACAGGAAGATAAAATTTATCATACTACTTTGTTTTATCTTCAAAATTAAAAAATGTTTTTTAAAATGAAAACTGTATTATAAAAATTGCCTTCATTTACACCCAATTTACTGTAAAATAATTGAGAAAGTGAAAAATTGATTCAATATAACAGTATTCTCTACAATGTCACTTATCACACCATTTGGCTACTCATAAACTTCAGAAGAATAATATTTAGTTATTTTCATTAAGTTTCATGCACCAGGTAATATACATGTTACTGGAGGTTAAATTATAAATGAAACTCTATTCCTATCCTCAAGAGCTTTAAATTTAGTAGGAAGAAAATCACTAGTAATAGCAAATGAGTAATAAATATAATCATAATAGAGGTATGTATATTCTATTATGCAAGTTTAAATGGAAAGATCAACTCAACCAATAACTAATTTTCATAAAGACTCATGAATGTATAAATCCAATAAATTATGCATATTGATAAGAATACATTTATTTATTTTATTGGTAGCAAGAATTCTTTTTTCTTATTTTTGCTTTGTGCCATACCGGGGCAGTGCTCAGAGCTTATTCCTGGCTCAGCACTCAGGGATCACTCCTGATGGGGCTCATGGAACTGAATCAGGGTGCTGGAGAATTAAACCTGGATAGGTCATGTGCACTGTACTTATCTCTCTGACCTTGAGTCCTTTATTATCCTTACAAAAATCTTGCTTCTAAAAAAATATAATTACCCATGCTTCAAGACCTATGAGGTTAACACAGAATTACTGTGGAAAGGATATACCAAACACTCACCATGATCATCGCATATTTTAACAAATTCCAACTTCACAATAATTCTATGAAACAGGTACTTCTGTTATTTCCACTTTACAGATGAGGAATCTGAAGTTAACTTGACCAAAAATCACAATGACGACAGGAGTAACCGCATGGACTAGAACTCAGTGTTTCATTCTGGAGGCGCCTTTCACTACCACACCTGACCTTCTCTCCTGGTTCTTTGGTGACACGGGTCACTGACACCCCAGTGCTCTGTGATCAGTGAGGCACTCTCACACTGATCTTCAAGGCAACTCTTTGAGGAGAAACCTTCCCATATCCAGGAGAAAACCAGCATAGGGGAGGTTGGAAACTTGCCCAAGATGGGGCAGTCATCAAGGGACACAGCAAGATTCAAACTCTAGGGCAACCAAATGTTTCCGTCTTACACTTATGCAAAGAGCCTCATGATAAAACGTATTAGATCACTCAAAAACAAAAACCTTGTGTAAGTGTTTCTTCCCGAAACACTCTGCAAATTCTGGGGGCTTAGGCCAAGCATTTCCTTACCATAGCATTTACAGTTGAGTCAACTTTACTACTTTGAGAAGATCATAAACACATTTCTGTTCTTTAAAAAGAAATCTTTCTGTAGACACTTGGCAGATTTCAGTACAGGAACAATCTATTCTTTAAAATTAAATTTAGTAACAACTTATTCTGGTTAGTCTGAAAGGAAAGGAGAGAATGAACTACTAAGAGGTCTTTCCTGTACTTTATTATTTCAAAACATGTTTGGTTTGGCCTAATTGGAATCGTGTGGACAACCAGCCCAGAACCTGATTCAGAAAGAATCATCCCATTTTAAGTAGGCTGAATTCTCAAAAGTGACTTCAGAAATCTATTCAAGAGCAGCTATGTCTCCTAATTTATACTTTTATCTCAAATATCAAAGATGCAAAAGACAAGATTCTCCTAAAGCATACAGGAACAGGGATGTGCACTTCTGAGCTTCTGACAACCAAGAAACCAAATCAATTTTTTATGGAATGCTATATAGCATAATACTGTTTGAGAGCAATCAAGTATACAAAGACGCATAGCAAAGGAAAACAATTTATACTTATCCTTAACATACCCTCTGTGTCTGGGACATAAAAAAAAATGTTTTGTAATTCATGCTTGACTGAGGTAAGGGAAAGATGAAGTGTCAAGCTGGATTTCCATTTTATCTTGCTTTCCTCCAACAGGTTCGAAGACTTCGTGACCTCCACTTTAATACTGAATTAATTCACTTTTTTTTCTCCAAAAGGGAACCCATAAAGCTATTTTAAAATTTACATATACATAAAGTCATGCCATTTTAGGCAACCTCTCTCCCTTTGCCCTATTGCCACACATCCAAATTTGCCTTTATTGAATAAAAGTTTGACTCAGATTTGGAGGAATTATGTACCCATTAGCCGTTTTACACTTTTCGCAGGTCATTGAGCCTATCAAATCCCTTCGCTGACTAGGAACACTCACTATGCATCCCAAAGGCAGAAAGCGTTCCATTACCAGTTATTATATCAGCAGTATAATGCCCCGATGGTGGAAGGCAGGCAATACCTAGAAATACAGCAAGCCTGGAGAATAAGGAGTCGAGGGGCGGGGGAAGAAGGAACGAGGGAGGGAGGCGGTCGCCACCTCAAATCCACGCCGGACCAGGACCCTTCAGCCCAGTGATCCCTTGCCCTTCCCAAAGTGGACCAGCTACAACATTTTCCCAGAATCCCACTCCCCTCCAAAAAACAAAATAAAATAAAATAAAACCCAACACGGTACTCACCCTTCTGCGAGTCGGCACCCGGTCCAGCTCCAAGACGGGTCGGGGTGGCAGCAAGGGAGGGAACGTCTGGGCTGTGGGCGGGGGGTGTCGGTGCGTCACTCGAGTGCAGGACGGTGAGTTCGAGGAGTGGGAGTGGAAAGGAGCGGGGAAATCAAGTCACCGCCGAAAAGGGAGGGGGAGAAATTGGTAGGGGGAAGTGGGCAACAGTCTCCCCCCAAATAAATCCCCGGTGCCTGCGACACCCCCACCCCCTGCCCCAGGCAGGAAAAAATGAAATGCGGGTAAGGTACTAGACTGACCAACAAACCTCTAAAACGACTAGGAGGGAGGAACAGACTTTAATTGAAAGCGGGGGAAAACGGACGAGGGCTGGAGGGGTGATCGAGAGAAGTGGCTCTGGGTCTATCCCATGCCTTTGCAGTCCCCAAGCAGAGGCGGCTGGCTGAGGGGAAGTTGCAGCGGCTCTGGAGGAGAAAGAAGAGGAGGAGGAGGTGGAGGAGGAGGAGGAGGTTACACTGTAACAAGTACAGACAGACAGCCATGGATCAGAGGGGCGCTGCGAACTGGGGCGGCCGCGGCGGGGCGATCGGCGGCGGCGGCAGCACCGCCTGCTCGGCTCGCTCAAGACATTTAATTGGATTGATGGGTTGTGCAGTGACTCACAGACTTTACAGAGTCGTACGGCAGTCCCCGCCCAACTGGACAGGGTAGATGCGGCGGGGACGGGCGGGGAAAGCGGGCAGTGGAAGAGCTGGGAGGGGAGGTGGCGATGGGGAGGGCCAGGCGTTGGGGGGCGGGGAACGGAGCCCCGGTACCCAATGGCAGAACCCGCCGCTCGGATGGGCGTGGGCGTCGGCCAATGACGGAGCGACTCCATAAGCGGGTGGCTTCCCCCCTGGCCCAATGAGTCTTCTAAGGACACTGCCGCGAACGGGGCGGGGGAAGTGGAGTGGGGGGGTGGGGAGAGGTGGGTGGACGTTGAAGTGGGGGGTGGAGGGAAAAGATGAAGCGCGAGAGACCGGCGGAGTCACTCTGCCTTCCTCGCTCCAGAAGTGCGCCTTCTACCAATCCGACAGCCTCATGGAGATGATGGACGTAGGCAAGCGACCAATGAGGAGGAGAAAGTGCCGCAGCAAGCCAGAGGGAGGAGGTGGGCGGGCCAACGCCCTCCCCTCCCTCGGGCCGCCGTGTCCTCCCTCCGCCCGGTTTGGGTCAGTCATGCAAATAACAGTGTGAGGGCTGGGACCGTGCGCTCAAGGGGCGGGGGGCTGGGGTGGCCGGCAGAGAGGCCGCGCTGCTTGGCGGCGTGACAGCGATAGGGACTGGCTGTGCTGCCGACTCCGTGCCTGCAGGAGGAGGCGGCGGCGGAGGCTGGCTCCTCACTCAGCTTGCAGGCTGGGGCTGCGGCGGTAGCGGCCGCTGCTCAGCCTCTGCCTGGAGCTGCCAGGGAGTCCCTGAAACTCACCCCACTCCTCCTCAGGAACCACCAGATTCGGAGCGGGTCAGATCAAAACTTTGCCCCAGGTCCATGCAGTGCCCGCACGCGGAGACAGCTCGTGGAGCTGTGCTCTGGGATGTGAGAGAGCTGAAAATGCCAGAGACCTGAGGCTTGGCGGTGGCATTCGCCTCCCTGCTAGTCTGTTTTCCGAGGAAATCGGTGTAGGGTGTGGACAGGTTGAAACAGCTCCTGAATACATACCATTTCTTTATTGAGTTTCTGGAAAAGGCACTTCTTAACCTGGCATGAGCGAAGCAGTTGGCTTTGCTTTTGTAATACCTATATACGCCTCCAACCCCCTCTCCCCTCCATTCTAATAATCTCTTTGCTCTCTCTACTCACCTTGTACCCTGACTGCAAAGCTCCGGAGCGCTCACCATTTGATCCACTTGCTACTCAGTCCCTGAAGCCATGCCTTCTGATCTAGCAGATCCTTCTCATGTACTTGGAAATAACTGCAGTCACCTACAAAAGCATAGATTCAGGCAAAACTCAACCCTCTTTTCCACAAAGTGGATTTCTGCACCTAGTCTGAAATTGACCACAATTGCTTCCTATCAAGAAACCAAAGAAAGCCAAATTGTATATCGCATCCTTGCAAAAAGACAATCTCAAACCCACTTGGAATACCCAATATCCATTCTCTACAGAAGTGTAAACTGTAGTAACCTAAGGTTCATATAGAAGTAACAACATAATTTCCCCCCCCCCCCCCCATAATTACAGGATTGAAGCCTGTAGACGCTCTGGAATTCAGAGGAGCAATACTAAGTGAGAAGTGAACACTAGTCATACTGAGATTTCCCCTTAATGTACTATCTTTAGGACAGGGGTTGTTTTCCGTAGCCTTTGTGTGACACACAGTCTAACATCGCTTATCACTTCCCTTTCTCAGTTAGCCCAGTTCTGATATTTCAGCCTGCAGTCCTGGGTCCACCTACGAAAACAGGCTGAACTGCAGATTTCCTTTAAGCACCCAGCTTGTGCATATATTACCCCTTGGTGTTTTCAAACTTCCATTCTGAATTTGGCAGTGCAAGCTCAGAGTCCTGCCTCCATGACATGGTGATCTGCAGGAGGTGAACAACTTAAGCCAGGTGATCCTGTGATAATTTATACAAACTAGGAGCTGGAGAGACAGTACAGTAGTAGGACTTGAAAGAAAAACACCCCACCTCCCATCCCAACCTGCAGTGATACCTGAATCCAGATCCAGGAGTAAGCTCTGAGCACCTCTGGGTGTGACTAAAAACAAAAAGACAAAAAGTAATTTCCAAACAAACTAGATTTTTTTTCTTTTTGGGTCACACCTGGCGATGCACAGAGATTATTCCTGGCTTTGGACTCAGGAATTACTTCTGGCGGTGCTCAGGGGACCATATGGGATGCTGGGAATCCAACCTGGGTCAGTCACATGCAAGGCAAACACCCTACCCACTGTACTATCACTACAGTCCCAAACTAGATTTCTTATCTGGGGAAAATCAGCTCTATTACAAGGAGGATTATTGTGCTACATTATAGATGTATCTGATCCATCTTGGAAAGCTCTCATTCCACTGTGAGGTCACTTTATGGCTCACTCAAAGGTGAGTGTTAGCTCACTTACTGAGGAGGGCCCTAATAGCAGAAAAGATTTTGCACCTAGATATAGACTTGCATCTTTTAGAACACCTCCAAATACCCAGGGTTAGCATCTTGTGGCAGAAGTTGAGCCTTGTTAGTTTTTATTGGCATATCTCCAATCTCTACCATGTGTCATTTTCAAAGTCTGTGCACTCCCTCTTCCAGTAGTTCTTAAATGGTTCCCTAAGACCCACCCAGATTTTCACGTCGCCTCTCAGTTCTATTGAATCATGGTTTCTGGAGGCTGAAACTAGACATGGGCTTTTTTTCCAAACAGATATTTTAGGTGGCTTGAATACATATTAACATATCAAATATTTAATTTGAGGGCTCCTGTTTGTTCATTTCTTTTGAAAAATTGAGTGTCCTGATTTATTCCTTCTTTTTCTCTTTCCCCCACACGTATGTCTTTTCTCTTATATTTTCCATTTCTCGTTTTTGTAATCACTTCCCTTTCTTGTCTACAGGCATCATGCTTAACATAATACCGTAAGTTCTGTAAATGAATAAGATTTGTAAAAGAAAGATGAAATTAAGAATTTAGGAGCTGGGGAGGTTATACCATGGTAAAGCCTTGTATGTGTATGATCCTTGACTCAACTCCTGACACTGAAGAAAATACATACATATATATATATATATATATATTTATATATGTATAACAACTTAGGAAGAAATAAACAGAAAGAGATAAAACCGAATAATCACATGTAACACTCAGTAGAAATAATAAGCTATTCAAAAATAATAAGAAAAATAAAGTGAACAGCATGTGTTTCTACATTTCTCTTCTTTCACTTTTTCTTTAAACAAGAAGGTACCTGGCCAACCACAATAAAGACATTTGCTAGATTTTCCTCTTTACAGAGCATTGTCACTTTCTAGGCAATGATTAAAAGAAGAATTGAGGGCTGGAGGGATAGTACAGCAGATAGGGAGCTTTCCTTGCATGTAGTCCACTAGGGTTCAATTCCCAGCATCCTATATGGTTCTCCCAAGCACTACCAGGAGTGATTTCTGAGTGCAAAGCCAGGAATAATTCCTGAGCATTGCCATATATGGCCCCAAAACAAAACAAAACAAAAGATAAAAGCAGAATTGGTGTAATACATTCTTAAGGGTAAGATGGGCCTAACCCTTTCCTGCTATCTAAAATGAAAAATGATGGTTGACATTTCTTCAATCATTTTAGACCATGAGTAGACCTTACGTATGGAGGACACATATGGTAGAGCAATAAGACAGGAGGATAAGACAGAGCAATATCCCAGTACCTGAAGTAGCTACCTAGATTTTATTCTATAAAAAACAACTTTTTTTTTGTGCTACTGTTATATTAGGATGTGTGTGTATGTGGTCATTGTTACTTAAAGGTAAACCTAAATAAAATTGATACAACATATTACTAAATACAAAATAAATTAGTAAAAGTCAAAAGTACTACGTGATAACACTGACAATCAAGGAGTAAAGTAAGTAAAGGTCCTCCCGTTGATCTTCGATTTGCTCGAGCGGGCTCAGTAACAAGTCTCCATTGGAGTCTTTGTTGTTACTGTGTCTGGCATATCGAATACGTCGCGGGGAGCTTGCCAGGCTCTGCCGTGCTGGCAAGATACTCTCGGTAGCTTGCCGGGCTCTCCGAGAGGGGCGGAGGAATCGAATCAAGGAGAAAAGATACTATTTCCAGTAGCAACAAAACTTAAAGTCTTCAGAAACTAACATGAAGCAATATGGATATGAAAGATTAATTCTATTAAAAGACTTCAAAGGAGGGACCAGAGTGATCATACAATAGGTAGGTGCTTGCTTTGCATGCAGCTAACCTGGGTTTAATCCTTGACATCCCATATGGTTTCCCAAGACCCAACAAGAGTGATACCTGTGCCCAGAGGTAGGAGTAAGCCCTGAGCATGGCTGAGTGTGTCTCCAAAACAAACAAACAAAAAACTTCAAAGAAAACTCATATGGGGTATTCATTATGTTTGTGGACAGAATGATGTAATATTAAGTTGTCAACAATCTCTTAAGTTTACTCATAAGCTCAATATGACTTATCCATTCAAACTTGGCTAAGGATTTAAGAATCTAAATATCTTGAAAATACCCACAGAAGACTAAAT